TGGAGGCACCAGGGCGTGGGGGGATACCCAGGGTTTGTTCAGGGGGGGGGCCCGGTCGTTTTTGGCCCCCCGGGCCGGGGGGGGGATAGAGGAAAAGTTCCCCAATGTCGGGCCCAACTTCGTTTTGGTGGGGGTTTGGGCTTTGGGGGCATGTGTGTGGTTTTTCCACGGGAGTGGGGAGGGGGGGGGGGGGGGGGCGTGTTCTAGATGATTAGAGGGTAAGGAGGGGTGCAGAGAATCGGCAGGGTGCAGAACCGTGCAGCGGTGCTGTCGCCTGCGAAAGATAGCCCAACGCCCCACACACAACAGCAGCAGATACATAGAGGACAACGTATGCGTACAACCATCGGGACACGCAACATCAACGTCGTTGTATCCCCGCGAGAATTCCTCAACGGGATGCTTTGAATCTTCCCCATTGCGTGGAAAGTGGTTTACGTCGGTCGTAGGTTGGACTAAGCGGGGTGTGCCCTCGTGTAGGTGCCTTAGTTCGGAAGGAGACTACCTGAGAGATATATGCATACTGTAGACTAATGCATACCATCATGTCTGCTGTTGTATACACATGCATGTATTCAACTTTTAGCATCAGACGTTAGGTTCTCGGCAAGAGGTTGCAATATCCAGTTATCCAGGGTTGGTTGTTATAAGAGGAACACCGGTTCCGTCGCGCCCCACCACACCCGCACTGGCCCAAACTGACACGGATGCCTTCTATGGTCAAACGACGCACGACCTAAAAGAAGACACGTAAAAGACAAGAAGGACAAGGACCCAGAAACATTCCTGACCTAAATACCAATCGGAAGAAACTTGTTGGCACGAGTAGCCATCAACAAGCAATCAACTAGGGAGCCACTAATTTCAACGTTGTCCCTAGTTAGATTCAACTCTCCGCCGGGTACACTGTATTCAGATTTTCAAACCAGTTCATGCAAAGGCGAAGGTGAAGGTTGTGTAGCATTGTGCGTGGAGGAGCTCTGGAATTTCGCAGCGTTCTCAGACTATACCACACAGACGGTCTCTAGACTACACTGCTGTACGTTTAGAAATTGGCGTAGTTCCCGAAATGGGAAAAAAACACAGAGGCGTCGACGAACCTCTCGGCGCGTTCACATGCCCGACACCTCGTGCCGTGTTAAGCAGAGCGCGCAGCTACGCCACCATCATCATGCAAATCGTCGCAGCAGTTGTCGGTGGGGGAACTGTGAGAGAGGGAACGCTGTCCGTCCTCTCAACCAGCCAACAAACACGCATACCGCGGGGAGGCAAACGCATTCAATCCAACGAGAAGAGCGGGCAGGGCTCGTTGGCTGCCGTAGACTTCGCGCGAAGGTTTTTTCATTTTTCGTGTTATGTAAACACGTTGGATAAAGCATACAATCGGGGAAGTTGGGTTAGGGTTAGGCTTAGGGCATAGGGTCTGCGTCCCCCCTCCCTGGTCTATTTCCTCATATGCGTGTCTATCGCGCGAAGGCGGTCCGTTGGCGGTCTGCACCCTACACCGGTAGTCTTTAGGTTTTAAGGAAAAATAAATATTTGCTGCTCCTGCTGCTGCTGCTGCTGCTGCTGCTGCACGCACGCCTTCTTCACCCGGCGGTTTCCTGCTTGGAAGGTTGGAACTCGATGATGTTACTTACGCGTAAACTACATTTTCTTCGAAAGAATATCATCCCGACGAATGTCCTCGTCACTCCCGAGGTAATTGTATGTCATCCATTGCTTCTTCGCAGATCACCCGCGAGTACTACAAGTCCGGCTACTGGGCCATCCTCCAGACCCCGAAGCACATTCTCAACGCCGTGGTTCTGCACCTGGTCGCTCGGGCCCTGCGGTGGCACATCGACCGAATGCTCGGGGTCAACTTCGCGGCAGGAGACGAGGTATGATAGCCGTTTCTCGCCTGTGCTGTGCTGTGCTATGTATTGCCGTGGAGACCTCTTCGATGACCCTCAGTAGTTTACAGGAATGCTGCTGATTGTTGTTGTTGTTGTTGTTGTTGTTGTGTTTGTCGTTGTCAAAATCTGAGCTTGACCTCAGTCGCTCGTACTCGCAGTCTCGCGTTGACGCTCTGCGAACGGTTTCGCCCTGCAGGGGATGAACAGCTGGCGAGTTGAGTACGGAATGCTGGGCCCTCGTCTTGGTCATGGCATCTTAGCGCATTCCCGCAATTTCCGCCGACCGAGAGCAAGCATGCGCTCAATCCAACCCAGCTCCAAAACGCCATGACACAACAGAGACTCCCCGTGCCATAAGCAAACCATTTCTTACTAACGGCGAACACGTTTAAGGATTTGCAACCAACCGTGGTCCGATTCGATGGTGTTGCTGCTGTTGCCTCTCCACCCCGCCGGTCTTCATCTTTTTACGCCCACGCGCGCACCCTTAAAGGCCCTGCCCGACTTCTTCGCATCAACGACCCTGGATGGAGAGGGTGGCGGAGGCGGCCCCGACAACAATGGCAACGGCAGCAACAGCAACAGGGGTAGCAGCAACAGCAACAGCAACAGCAACAGCAAGCCGGCGGTCTTGTGGCCGTGGCAATCGTCGTCGCACAATCACTCCCGCACTCCGCAGCAGCCGAAGGTAAGAGAAAACGTCGTTGTACATGTCGGGATGAAACAGGAGAGCTAGCTTTTTGTACGAGCAGCGTTCTGGTATGTGTTAGCAAGCACACGCGTGTGAGCATCACGACTTGGAACACGAGGGGTGTTTATTGGAACGCTTGCTCGCCCCGAAGGCCTTGTGTTTTAAGGGAGGATTTGCGGGGGAGACTTTTAGGGTGGCGTTGCGGAAAACATGCGGGTGTGTACATCCGACCCCATCGCTCTTGACGCTCTCAGAATAACCCCCCCCCCCGGTACGAACGTTGTTCATGCGCGTGTCCCCCCCTCCCCGCCGCCTTGTGTGCAGCAAGACCGTCGGGACTCGGTGGAAGAGTCTACCACCGACCAGGAGCAGCTCGGTTGGTGGGGGCGGCGGCGGTGACGGCCGCCGCGGCAACAACCACCGGAGATCGCGCAGCGCGGACATGACGTCTGCGGAGACAGCGGCAGCGGCGGGCGAAGCAGCGATCCAAGAGGACGACGACGACGATGACGGCGGCGGCGGCGACAGCCTGGGCAGGTCGGCCTCGTCCTTGTCCCTGCCGGAGTCGGCGCGGCCGGGGTGGGAACAGCGGCGGAGATCGTGTCGGAGAAGCAGCAGCAGGCTGGACAGTAGTGGTCTCGATGGCGGCCTCGCCGGCAGCGACAAGGAGAGGGGAGATAACGCCGCCGGCGCCCTCGACGACGACGACGACGACGATCACAGCCGCGGCGGCCGTGAGAACCACCACCACACCTTTCCGGACCTGTTCGGGGCCTGCCGCCCCAGCCACCACGAACGCCACCGCCGCCGCGAGAGGTCGCTCTCATCCCCGCCGTCTTCGCCGTCGGCGACGCTGGAGCCGACCAGGCCGTCCTCCGTCGGCCGAAACCGCAACCGCGGCCGTGACAGACAGCCCCCTCCCCCCCCGCGCCGCCGCCTGTCGCTCGAGGTTCCTCGCACCGCCGCCGACCGTTGGGTCGACGAAGGTACAGACAGCGTGCCGTTTTTCGCTGTGTCTTTTTTTAGTTGCTCTAGGTTTCTGCAATGGCCGTGAAGTACGCACAGCAAAGAGGGAAGGAACGGCTGAGCCCTTTCCCGGGGTTGAAGGCAAGCACCGCAGGAGAAACAGCGGGGGGGGGGGGTGTCTCCTGCGTTGCCCCGGCTGGTGCGCCAAACCTGCGCCAAGAGGCGTAGACTGGCGCCCAGAATACATTGGGCGGGGAAAAACAAACGGAGCGGTGGGATTTCGTCTGCCATGTTTCGTTGTACGTTCGTTTGTATAGGTTCCGCTTGTGTCAGCGGGAGCTCGCCTGCTTTACCTTCACACGAGACCCGCTGATTATCCCTCTTCGAACCATTCTGTTCAGCAATCGTGTGATCATCCCGTGCTCCTACGTAAAGGATGATTTATCATGTTTTTTTGCGATCGCGCGATCGTCACGTACGCTTACGCTTTTACCCCTGCGTTTTGAATCCCGAAAAAAAAAAACGTATATCGGAAAAAAAAAGGTGGCAACTACGGAGCCGGGGAGGAGCAGCAAAGAGTCGCGGGGGCAGGCGGGGCCGCGAGGCAGATCGGCTGTACATCGGACGACGGGGGCGCCGGCGGGCACGGGGCGGGCTCGCGCGGGAGCCGCCGGCGCTTGCGGAGGCTCACCGGCAACAACAACAACAACAACAACAGCAACAACAACAACAAGCCCTCGTCCTTGCCCCAAGCCGGGGCGTCTGCCGCCGCAGGAGCGGCCGGGGGGATGGAGACGGGGGAGGAGCACGCGGAGGAGAAGGAGGGGGAGGGTAGGAAGGGAGCGAAAGCTTCGGTGGCGGCGGCGGCGGTCGTGGCGGCGACGGCGTCGGCGACGGAGCTCTCGGGGAGCGGGCGCGATGTGGGCGGGAGCGGCGGGGGGAGGAGCAGCAGCAGGCGGTGGAGGTCCATCGACAAGCTGTCGCGGGCGCTCGGCTCCACCCGCCGGCGAACATCGCGGCAGGGCGGGGCCGCCAGGGGAGAGGGGGGAGAAGGGAGTGAGCAGGTATTTTTCTGATTTGGTTTTGGATTTTTCTGTGAATCGTTTTTCGTCTGTGTGGTTGTTGTTTGTGTGTCGCTACATAGTTCGAGGGTGTTTTACCGCCAAGCTGGAGGTGCGCCTGAGGGTACAGGTGACAATGGCGACATCGGCGGCGAGAAGATGCTTTGTTGTGTTCAAGTTTTTTGCCGTGTTGCTGTTCCTCGCACCTTTCTCCTGTTTACATCCGTCACCAAACGTATGCCGTAGCTCGTATCTGCGTTTCTGTCGGGGGTCGAGCGATGGAGGTGGGTCTTGTTGCCGCCCCCTGGTGCCGCTAAAACGACTGATGATGCTGTCGATGCCGTCGACGCGAATCTGTCCCGGGCTTAGGTGTTGACTTCGAGATCACACGTTTCAATCCCCTGAAAAATGTTTCTCTCACCATGTGTGTTTTGACATCCCGGCGATAAAGGTTTCGACATCACACTTTTGGATTTGATCAAGAACCCGCTCGACTCTCTCACCAGCATGTGTGATTGATTTGGACATCCCGGCAAGCTTTTTTTCCTAACAGTGTATGACCACTCTTCTTGCACCGCACCGAGAGGTTCACCGTGCCGTACCCCCCCCACCCACCCCCCCCGGTGTTTGTCATCGGGGTTAGGTTTTCGTCGCTTGGCAACGACGTTGTAAACGAAGCCAATTCGCTTCGTGAACTCGGCAACCAGGTTACCGTTTTTTTTTTACCTCTGTTTTTTTTTTACCTCTTTTTTTTTTGCGGTAACCATAATGGGTGGTCGAGTAGATCATATTGTGCGGGGTCGAGAACCCTCACTCCGTGCAAGGGGGATGATCGCACCACGTTGTGTTAAAATGGTAAAGCATCCTCGAGGCAGTTACACAGTGCTTACAACTGTCTCTGGAAGTGAAAGCACCAGAAAACAAATTAAGTCATACGCAGCTGTCATCCGTACGCAAGGAAATAAGCACAAGATGCCGAACACCCTTAGCAGGATGCAGCTCACCCTTCATGCGACTCGCCAAATACCTCACGGCGCTTCGCGCTTGGTGATGTGAGAGCCTGGTCCGGTGAGAACCCGGCGTTCTCCGTCCCGGCTTTGTAGGGATGCGAGGTCAATGGTCTAACGACTACGGCATGCACGACTATGAGTACACCCCCCCCCCCCCCCCCCCCTTTCCTCCCTCTTTCTTG